TAGCTATTGCAACCAACCTAATGGCTATGGCCTCCCACCCAATAGCTTTGGCCTCCCACCTAATAGCCATGGCCTCCAACCTAATAGAAAAGCTTGACAAAAACTTCGAATGAACCATTGAGAGCCGATGCCTTTCCTTTCTCCCGTGGATGACGCGGCTGGGGAACTGAGTGCATGGCCCTGACAGATCTCGCAGGCCCTTCTCCTTCTTGCCATAGTAAACACCCTGCGGCGTCAGATTGTGAATGAAGAAACGAAAGAAAATGCAAAAAGATTCTTTACAAGTAGTAAGGCACTCGTTTCTAGTAGCAAACATTGTTTCTACTAGTAAGGCACTTGTTACTACTAAGTTTGTTTCTTCCACACCTGACAGCAATTCGACTCCCAAGTTCGATGTTTCTTCCGCGAGAAGACAAACGGCTGCAAACCCTGACGGCGAGAAGAGGCGCCACAAACGACGTACGAAACGAAAACGAGAACTGTTGATATATATATATATATATACGCCGTTGATCCGCTGGCCTGTTGGTACAAGGATTTCTTCTTCCGCAAATTCAGGATGCGGAAGTGCACGGTGCCGCAAAACTGGCCATTCCTATGTCGGCAGAGTGTTCTGTTCAACGGTGTTGTTTTTTCTGTCTTACTATTCTTCTTTATTCTTCTCATTCTCACTTCTCTTCTCAGCCTGATGGCAAAGTAGAACCACTGAGTGTGGCCCTGGGCACTTTGCGTGTCCGAATCCACAAGGAGCTCATACCTTGAAAAAGAAAATAGGGAAAAAACTCTGTGCTTAGCTCTTTGGCTTCTTTGTTACTACTAGTAACAAGTGCATCGCTACTAGTAACAAGTGCCTTACTAGTAGTAACAAGAAGCTAGTTAATTTAGATTTATTTGTTTAAAATAATATTGGTAAGTATTATGACTAGCTCTCTTTGGCACTCCTTACTGCGACGTTTTTGGGAAGTCAAGGCACTCCAGCTCTGTGGCACCGGGGCCCGGGGTCTGCGCGCCTGGCGAACGGAGATATAGATATCTCTTCAATCGTTTTAAAGAGATATGTCCTTGAGATTGTCGAATAGAAAGGTGTGTGAAAAATAGCAAGAAGGAAGAACACAAAAGGAAGAAACAAAGAAAATGACGTCTTCCAACATCTTCCCTCAGTGCAAGTTGCCTTTTGAAGTGCACACAAGCTTTGCACAAAGCAGGTTGCCACATTCAAAATGTGATGAGAAGCGCAACCTGAGGCAAAAAGGCACGTTCCTTAGACGTGTAGAACACATCAACGTGACGAAACGTCATAAGCTTCAGGACGGCCCATCCACTGTCCTCCGAGCTGATTGAGGTGAGCCTCCGAGAAAAAAGAAAAAACGATGACGATGTCGTTGTGGGAAGTTTGGAAAAATGTCAGAAGTCCGCTCAAAAGTGCCAAGAAACAGCGCCAACAGTGTTGACTGACGGTGAAGCTTACGGCCTCGTCCATCAAAGAAAGGTGAGGTGACATGGCCCTTCCAAGGCCTCCACATACGACGATCAAGGAACGAGAAGCGAAGCATGGCGAAGCATGGCGAACTACACAAAGGACGTGGAGCAGAGACAAAGCACTGCAGTGGAGCGCAGTAATTTCAAGTTCACAAAGTTTCTTGCAATGGTTTTAGGGCCTAAAAGATGTACAGAAACAAAGTGAAGTTTCTTTGCACTTCATTTATCTTCAGTTGCCTGCTTTCATCCATCTCCGCAGCTTGACGAACCAAGTCTGCCAGCATTGACCTGGCACATGAAACATCGTCAGCTTTGCAAGTCACGTTGTAACAAACTTAAGAGTTGCAAAATGTGCGAATTAGATGACCACAGCAATCTCAGCGCCTCCGCTGCGCTAACTCCTGAGCAGTAAGTTGTGCGCAACCCAAAACTGATACAAAGGAGGATGCAGAGCTGGAGAAAGCAAAAATGAATCGGTCGAGGACGTGAAAGTTCTTCCCCTTGAAAACAAAGTGAGCCCAAGAAACTAGAAGCAAAACAGGGGCGGGCTGCTGAGTGGTGAAATCTGCGCGCGGGCGACGACACGGAAGTACAAATAGCAGAACGTCCAAGCCAGGAAGCAGCAAGCAAGCAACCAGAAGATACCAAAAGGAAAATACATACGAAGAGAGCATGGAGCTTGGAGTGAGGACAAGAGAAGAAGAATTTTGCGGCCAGAAATGTTTTGCACTTTTTTGGGCAAGTTGAGCGTCCAGTCTCTTTGCGTCTCCTTTGCGGACACACACTCCTGTAGAAATCGCCCGACTTTGCACTTGATCTTGCAAACACACCTATTTGTTTCATACCGCTTGCTCGTGAGTCGTGTGAAAAAGTTGAACGGTTTGGGACTTTGCGCTCGTCTATCAACGGAGGCTTATTGGCCTCAAACAAGTTCTGATGCTTTCCACTGCTGCGCGCAAACATTCGCAGAGCTACATTACATTCGGAGAGCATCTCAAGCCCCTCTACAAACTTCTACGAAAGCTCACCCCAGCCCAGGAGCATCATCCATTCACAGGGCAAAGAAAAAACAATCATCTGTGTCACAGTCGCACCTGCGGACGCACAAGCCGCTTGCTCACTGCTTTGGACTGGGCCCTGTAGCATGAATCGTTGCAAGGACACCGCCCTTAAAAATTAGATTGCAGGGTAGATTGTACTCAACCTTCCGCGAGATATTCGGTCAATTTGGTGATCCACGCGCCAACCGTCCCCTGCCGCACTCCCCGCCGAATCCCCCAGGCGTCTATATATTCAAATCATATGCTGCGTGTCCGCACCGATCGAACCCTGATCCCCAGTTTTTACCATTTGCAACACCTTTGCATCGTCCTGCCTTACTAATTCTGCCACACCCACCCAGATCATCGGTTCCCGACACTCTCTCCTGCAAGGTATCCATGACTTGAGGCCAGGGGGAGAGGTCGAAAGCTAGCCGAATCGCACCGGATGTACTAGTTACATAGTCGGCAAAGCATGTAGGGATGACATGTTTTGGGAGGAAGGTTGCTATGTACATACTTTGCGCTAAAGAATGTAAATGTGACAAAGCCTGACTGGGAAGGGTACATTGGAACAACCCGGGTGCACTCGTTGGCAGGCACGAAGATGCGTGATCGGCAAATCTGGGGGGGTAAATTTACCCTCCGCTTTTGTATGCCATCATACGGACTGTACATACACTAGGGCGTCCGTAGTGTAGGAGAAGCACGGGTAAAAGGTATATGTAATAGAGTGTCTTGAGGAAATAGCCGGTGTATGGTTATTGCAAATCTGGGGGGGTAAATTTACCCCCCCGCTTATGTATGCCTTGCGCTGGAAAGAGGGGCAAGCATTTCTGGCATCACAAGGACTGTGCATACACTAGGGCGTCCGTAGTGTAGGATAAGCACTGGTAAAAGGTATCAAGAATAGAGTGTCTTGAGGAAATAGCCGGTGTATGGTTATAGCAAGCCTGGGGGGTAAATTTACCACCCGCTTATGCATGCATTAGGTTAGAAATAGGGGTAAACAACTTGTAACGGTGAAGTACAAGTCCTATGCAGCAAGCAGCAGCCAGCAGCAGCAGCAGCAGCAGCCGCCTGCAGCCAGCAGCCAGCAGCAACCACCAACCAGCAGCCAGCCAGCAGCACCACGCAGCAGCAGCGCAGCATCAAGCCGCAGCAGCAGCAGCACCACCGGCAGCAAGCACCACCGGCAGCAAGCAGCAAGCAGCAGCAGCAAGCAGCAAGCAGCAGTAGCAGCGGCGTCGTCAGCAACAGCAGCAGCAGCACCAAGCCGCAACAAGTAGCAAAGCAGCAGCTACAAAAGCGGCAACCAGCGGCAGCAGCAAACAGCAGCAGCAAGCAGCAGAGCGGCAGCAGCAGCAGCACCCTTTACACCAAGCCACCGTTACACCCAACCAACCACGTTCACACGTTCAACCAACCCCCTACACGGCGCAGCTGGGAGTTGAACCGCGGGGGGGGGTAGCTTGATATATCAATCTTTAAAGCACGCAGCCCCTCCCACCACAACATTGCTAAAGCAAAGAAGAACTCAGCTAGCATGCTAGCTTTCGTGACTATGACCATCAACATGTTTCCTCATTCCCTGGTCCTGGGGAAGACAACCAAACCCAAACATCAGAGATGCTCTGTTTCTTCCACACAGCATGCGGAACGTGGCCGGGGCCGAAACTTACCGTCGCCACCGTATATATGAAAAAGGATGTTCACGAGGTCATGAGCATTAAGTGATGTCACGCGATCAATCATGACATTCGACATGCGCCAATATCCTGCGCGCGCCGTCTCCGACACAGTCTACAGGCCTCTGTCATTAGGAAGACTGACTGAACAGGTCACCGAAGATGTGACACAATCCCAATCCGTACCGTAGCTTTTTTGACTCCTCTGCAAGTCGAGAACGTTTTGTCCGGCAGCCACGCGTCTACTTCCGAATTCACACTCCTTCTAATGGTAATCTTTCCACATGAAAACATCTTCAATCAACTCCTGGACCACGCATCAACCAGCAATTCAGCAAACCAGCTAGGAACAGGGGGACGTCATCTGGCGGCATCTGGATATTGAAACACAAATCGGTAGGACACGGCAAAAGGTTGCAGAGTATTCCTTCAGCCCCGCTTTCAGTAGCTTTTGACTGCGCGCGATCCAATAGTAATCCTGCAAGACGCCCAGAACGCAGCGCGCTGCGCCCTCAAAGGAAACACCATCACAAGGATACGAGGGGAAGGCCATCACTGGCCTTCGCAAAATGTTCTGTTACCCCAAAGTGACTGGAGCACAAAACCACAACCGTGAACCGTGTGGCAATCCCTAAAAACTTGCCCCCGAAAAGGGCACTAGCTTCGTCCTCGGTCTAGTTGCCCGGCAAGAACTCCTTGCAGTTTATTGTCCAATATCGCTTTGTGGAACAATGCGAAAGCTTTGGCCGGCTTAGATCGCCCAGCCCCATGTGAAAGATGATGTTGATGGACAGTTCAACTCCTCCATCTCTCTCGATCCATTTCTGGAAATCGTCATCCCTCGCCGCCCCAAAAGAAGGGTCAAACAAGTCACTTGCTGAGACGTCGTGAGGAAGTAAGCTGCGTAAATTGAGGCATCGTCTCTCTTGTCCGGGCCCGGCAGCCCACAGGCACAGCTGCGTGCTTAGTGCCCTGCGATGCACACTGGCCCTTCAACAGGGGCAGTGGAGAATTCTATCTTCCAATCTCCCTTCTTGCCGAAACGCTTCCTTGCCCTCTAGCAAGAAATCATTTCAGTTTTGCCAGCAGGCTGGTACAGTGTTCAGCCTTTTACGCTGCCCTTGGCTCTTGGCGCTTCAGCTCATACTCACCGCAGAGGCTGCACAAATTTCTGCAGTCTGCATCTCAAGGAGTGTCCTGTCAATGTAAACGATCTCCGGTCCTTGCAACTCTCTCTTGTCCTTGATGGGTCCTGCCGCGACTGAGCACTCCGCTTCCCAAATGCACGCGTGGCCTGGGATAGCTAGGCCACAGGTTCGAAACATTGCCGGTATTCGCTGGGAAACAAAATGAAGGCTCCACGAAAGCGCGTGCGTTCAGATCGGTGTTCCAGAAGGACTGGTGTATACAGTACGCCCTCGGCTGTCACAACCACATATGGAGGGTCGCGTCGGAAAGATGCAAGCGTTCTATGGCCCCAGTCCACGAGCGTTCTATAGTCTATGCTGCCAAACGCATCTCGCAAAAGGCCGCGCCGGAGAAGCCTGGTTGAAATCAACTCTGACATCATCAGTTCCATGGTCTTACCATTGCCATTAATCCTTTTCTCGCTGTGATCTCCCGCAAATTCTTCTAGCAAAGCATACTGCCTTTCTTCTACCACCTACGCATTGTACGCACTCCTCTGCTCGAGCGCGTCCAAGAAGCAAGACTATGCATCCCGTCAGAACTCCATTCTGAAGCCAGCATAAACGCAGCCCAAAGATTCCTTTCTGTTTCCTTTGAATGGGGCACATGCCCCACCAAAATGGCCTGCGCATTTGTGTCGAATCCCACTTCCATCCTGAGAAAATTGAATCATGCATTGCATTCCCAGCACATAAGCTCCAGATAGAAAGCCCATACGGACACAAAGAAACTGGTAGCCCGAGAGCTCAGCGGAGA